GTGTCCAGTAGTGAGGATACAATAAAATACAATAAAACCTGCAAAAGCCAGAACCTGTGTAAGGCAGAAACCTGTCAGAGAAGGAAAAGTTAAATATTTTCCACTAATAGAGAGCAATAGAAAAGTGGTAATACTGTACCCTGGCAAAGGCAGAAAACTTGTGAGACCTGGAAAAACAAGGCAGTACTGTCGAATTCCAGCTCCTGCAGGTTTCACTGTACTGTTCTTCAGTGGAGAGGCTATACTGCTAAAGCTATGAGGCATTATGAAATTATTTGCTTGTATTTGTTCTCTGAGTTCCATAATGAATATTCATCCTCTTACCACAAGAATAGTGGGATCATCTGTCAGACAATATTTAGTATTTAGTACCTCCTTATAGGGAGCTCTCATGGCACAGTGTAAGAGCTTGGCTGCTAACCAAAAATGGTCCACAGTTCGAATCTACCAGCCACTCCTTGGAAACCCTGTGGGGCAGTTAGTTCAACTCTGTCCGTAGGGTTGCTATGAGTTGGAATCAACTCGATGGCAGTAAGTTTGATTTTGTTTTTTGGTTTACCTCCTGATAGATACCATTATGCTAGGTGCTGTAGAAGGAAAGCCACATTAGAACCTTGAAAAGACCAGCAACTTCTGAAAAAAATCTGAATTTCATAAAAAAATAAATTGAAAACACCTTTCTATAACAGTACAGACAAGAAACTTAACACACTTCATTTATTTATTCTTTTTTTTTTTTTTTTCTCACATTTTAGGAGGATAGAAGTCTGAATTCAGGATGCTGACTCTAGGGCAAGGCTTCTCTTTCTCTCTCTGTCTGCTCTGGAGGAAGGTCTTTGGCTCTTTTTCAGCTTCTGTTTGTCAGGTCCTTGGTGATCTTCATATGGCATGGCATCTATTTTCCCCCATCTCTGCTAGCTTAATTTGCTCTTTTATCTCAAAAGAGATTAATTTAAGACACACTCTACACTAATACTGCCACATCGACATAACAAAGACAACACATTCCCATGTAGGATTATAACCACAGGTATAAAATCAAACCAAACCCATTGCTGTTGAGTCAATTTTGACTCATAGCGACCCTATAAGACAAAGTAGAACTGCCCTATAGAGTTTCCAAGGCTGTAATCTTTATGGATGTTTGCAGCTGTTTCTTCTCATTTTGAGTTGTGCCATATCAGCAAATGAAGGTCCTGAAAGCTTTACTCCATCCACATCATTAAGGT